CAGCTCAGCTGGGAGTGTCCCAAGGGACATCCCATCCCTGGCAATCTCCCACGGGACATCCCTGCTTTGGACCTTTTCTGGCACAAACGGTGAGAGAGGGCAGGAATCGCCACAGGCAGCTCTGCTGGTTTATTTGTGATACCCCCAGTCCCTGCCCTGCCTTGAGGCACCATGTGCCCACGGAGAGCACCAGCTGCAGATCCCCAGCTCTCTCCATGGCTGAGATGCAGTGTGGGAGGCAAAGACTAATTTCCAGCTATGCTGAGATTCCTCTAATTTGGCCCAGGTGCTTGGGCAAAGCATAAAGGGATTTTTTAACTCCTTTGAGTTGCCCCTCAGGATTGATGGGGGTGAGCCAAGGTCCCACCAGTCACTGTGGGTTTGGGGGCTGTTCCGAGGTGGCATTTAACGGGGCACATCCCAGGCTGGTGTCTGTGTGTGTGAGCCCCCATCCCTCTGCCCCACTCTGGCCTGGTCTCGTGCCAGCCCATTGTCTTTTGGCTTTTCCTGCAGGCGCCAAGCTCACTGCATTGGGAAAACTGGTCATGAGAATGTGAGTGTGACCCTGCAGCACTGGGAGCTATGGGGAGCAGGAAACTGGCTTGTTTGGGATCTTATATTCAGAAACACTTCTTTCAGTAAAATGGGGTATTTTGGGCAGATGTTTGTGTGGTCTACTGACTTAATGGAAAATAGGCTGATCCTGCTCAATGGAAGGATCAGCAAAGCTGGAAAAGGGGTAGGAGGACTCAGCATCTCATTGCTGATCCCACACATACTTAACCCATGAACTGAATAACAGCAACCGGCACCAGAACAGCTTTTCCTTTAAAGCCCTCCCCTTGGAAGGGCTCCTGGGAAGCCATGAGATGCATTTCTCATTGGGTGGCCACTTGCCACTTGGCAGTTTGACTGCAGCACCCGTGCTCAGGGTTTGCAAGGGTCTGGGAGAGCTTGGAGCAAGCTGCACACCTCTGAGAACATTCCCCTCTGTGTGGGTGGGCTTCCATCTCTGCTACTGCACCCACAGGTCCCTGCACCCTGCTATCCCCTAAAGAGAGATTCAGACACTGGATTATGGCGATGGTTTTTCTCCTGGAAGTGAGGCATGGGAATGTGAGGGGACATGGGCATCTCCACAGCCACTGCTGTGAGCAGACATCTGCCCCAGCACATGCAGACAGAGCTGTTCCCATCTCAGGATCTCTAGCAGAGCAGAGGTGAGTTGTTCCAGTGTCCCTCACATGTCAGGGACACTGTGAGCCTGAGCCTGCACCTACAGAGCCTCATATTCCCATTTGGCCTGGCTGTCCATCTGCTCTGCTTGGCTGCTGCTTGTGGGGCGGTTTGCTGGTGCTGGTGGCTCTCAGATTGTCCTGTATGGAGGGGCAGGATCCATGCCAGAGAGGCTTGGTGGCTGCTCTCCTTCCCACTGTTGGGTATCAGAGCAGAACCACCAGCGCTGCTCTGGCTGCTGCACGCTGCCAGTCGCAGCTCCTCAATAAATACAACTGGTAAATCTATTAATTTTACAGCTCTAATTGACATATTGCTGTAATTACCTTTTATAACAAGGCAATTAAACCCTATTAAAGATTATTAGCTAATTGAAACTCCTCTGTGCACACACCCCCAACCCCATTATGTGCACAGATTGTTGGATGGGGGAACTGGCAGCCAACTGCAACTGGGTCTTGAGGTCAGCATGATGCACGGCATGATGTGGTGGGTCAGGATGCTGGATGGGGAGATCATGGAATCACAGGCTCATTTGGAGTGAAAGGGACCTTAAAGCTCATTTAATTCCACCCCCTGCCATGGGCAGGGACACCTTCCACTATCCTGGGTTGTTCCAAGCCCTCTCCAACCTGGCTTTGGACAATTCCATGGGGCAGCCACAGCTTCTCTGGGCAGCCTGTGCTGAGGCCTCACCCCACTCAGAGAGAAAAATTTCTTTCCAATATCTCCTCTAAACCTTCTCTTTTTCAGTTTAAAGCCATTCATCCTTCTCCATGTCCCATTCCTGCCTGTACCACCATCTGTCTCTTCATACTTGGGCATGTCACTTAGCCAGGGCTATAAGGGATCGGGACAGCTGCGTGCATCCAGCACAGCAATTTTCAGCTTTCTGCAATTGGATGGGAAAAAAGAACTGAGGCTGGGATCCTCTCCTCCTGGTAGTGAGGTGGATGGGGGTGTAGGGCGAAGGATGGGCCCTTGGTCAGAAGAATAAGTTTAAAGGGGAAAAGCCCCACTTGGAGATGGGGTGTGTCTGCCCTGGAAAGGAGAAATGGCCCTGTGCGGGGAGCAGGATTGAGGGGAGTACATTGGCTGGGGAGAGAACCTGGAAGGTGTCTGGGACACAGGGGTGGCTCAGCCCTGGGTTGCTCTGCACCTGCAAAAGCGGGTGCCAAAACATGTGCAATCTAGGAAGTGAACCCCAGGGTTCCTGCAAAGAGCCTAAAAGACCTGAAAAACTATCAAAAAAACAGCTCACAGGGGTCCCCCCAGGGACACTGCCTGACCCTGTGGCTCATCCCCTTCCTGCACCTCTCCACATGGAGCAGCCAGGGAGTGGGGGTCCCTGGAGCTGCAGCTCCTCTTGTTGCTTCCAAGCCCAGCTTCATCACTGCCCACATGTCGCTTGGATCATGAAATTGTATCAATTACAGGCCCCAAAACTGGGATTTTTCTGGAGGCTAAAGAGCTGGAAGTGCATTGAAATTCCAGGGATGTGGCTGCTTTCTGTCTTCTGAGTCACGCAAGCAAGATCCAGCCTCTGCTGAGCCTCTCCTGAAGCCCCAGCCTCCCGCCTGTGCCTTGTCTCACCTGTCCATCACTCTCTGCCAGCGTTTTGCACCCAGTTTTGCACCCCGAGTTCCCTCAGTGCCCACAGAACCTGGAGAAATCCATGCTGGGGGGTCGAGGCACAGCACCGTGCCTGTGCCAGAGCTGTGGAGTGCAGCCAGTCCTCCTGGCTCATCTGGTTTGAGTTAAGCCCTCCCATCTTGCACAAGTGCCAAGCGCCTCTTTGCCAGCCCCAGCTCAGTGCTGCGCTAGCCGTGGGTTCCCCATCCCCGTGTTGGCTTGGGATGCTCCTGGCCCTGGGGGCTGGTGGAGAAGAGGAGCAGCACGGGGCTGTCCTTGTCCAGGAGAAGGAGGTTTGCAGAGGAGCAGTGTGGGGATAGCATTGTCCACCCCATCCCGGGGGAGCTGTGTGTGGAGCAACTACCGCAAAGAAACTGAAGTCTGACCCTCCCTGAGGGCTTTTCACTGCAGGCTGCCAACAGCCCCCGTGTCACATGCGGGCTCCAGAGCAAGCAGGCTCCCCCTGTCTCGTCCTGCTCGCCCAGCCCGAGGGAGCCCCCAGGTTTGATCCCGCAGGCAGCGAAGCGTGGGACGCTGAGCCGGGGTCCCGTTCACAGCAGGAACTTTGCGGGAAGCATCAGGAGCCAAGAGGTGCCAGGAGCGCCATACCAGCGACAGGCTGTGCCAGTGACCCTTAGCTGTGATTTCCAGTTGTTGCCCAAGCTGGTCCCTCCCTGCCTTAACCCTCGATACTGTTTCCCACATTCCCATTAAGGCAAGGAAGCTTTAGCTTTAGCCAGCTTTCACCCTGGAAATGCTGCGGCCCGTGCTCCCGCGGATGCCCTGGACCCTGCCAGGCACCTCCTGCTGGGGGAGCACCCTCGGGCGGAGCGGCTTTTCGCTTTCCCTCCCGCCCGAGGGTTGCTGTTTGAAACTAAACAAGACGGAGGCGCGCCTGACCCGCCCTCTGCCGCCGGCCTTCGGGGGCCCGTGGCCACCAGCCCTGGCTGCTCCTCGCCACCAGCCCTGGCTGCTCTGCCTGCCTGGCTGTGGGACCCGCGGGGGCTCCCAGGGCTGCGGTGCCGCCCCAGCAGGGAAGGGGCGCATGGGAGGAGGAAGGAAAGGTGTGGGGAAGGAAAGACAGCCCGGGACATGCAAGGAGGCAGGGAAGGAGGAATTTGTGCAAATTAACAAAGGGGGTGAAGGAGCGCAGACCCCACTGGAGACGCAGCGGGACCAGCGCTGGGTGGGTGGTGGCACAGTAATCCCCTGCCTACAGCACTCACGGAGGGGTTCTCCGGGCAGAGGGGGTTACCCTGCGAGCCAGGGTGGGGAAGGGGGTGTAGCATGGCCGGTGGTGGGGTGGGAGGTGGGAGGAAGGGGGAATCCCAGCTCCTCAGCGTGACAGTGCCAGGAGTGCTGTGCCCGGCTGACACCCTCCTCAACCCCCTCCCTTTTCTCCCGCTTTCCCCTCCCGTCTTTGACGTGGAGCTGAGGCAGATTCCCGGCAACGAACTGTTGCTTTTTGAAAGTTTGACCCTAGGTTGTTGCCGGGGCTCCTTCTCTCCCCCGCTACCGTGCACCGGCAGCCGGGGCTGAGCGGCTGCCAGAGGGTTAATCATTGACGGAGAGGGCGCACACGCGTGTGTCGTGTGTGTGCTGTGCGTGTTTGTTGCTCCGTTGCTGTGTGAGTCATCCTCAGCCTGCCTGGGTTTCTGCTGCGCTGCCTGAGAAGCGAATTGAGCTTGGATTGCAGCACGGACAGGAGGAGCCGGGCGGCCGTGGCTCGGGAGGCCGCTCCGGTTGGCTGTGCCCTTGACCGTGGAGCCCTCTGTTCGCAGGGAATGGTTGGGGTTGTGCTTTAGGGTGCTCCGGCTCTCGCCAGGGTCCCCAGCTGCGAGGTGCAGCTGCCTTCCAGCTTTCCTTGCCGCAGAGCCCAACTTTCCAAGCAGGAGCTCACAAGGAGGAAGCAGGACGCCCGCCCACCCCTCATTTCCAGGGTGTAAAAGTGTTGCTTTTCCATTCCCATTGTCATTTTATTCCCATTTCTCACACACGGGAGGGTTGGCTTCACGGCACAACGCAGGGAGGGGATGAAGTCCAAGGAGGGCACACCCTCTCTGTGGCAGCGCTGGGAGTGTCTGGAAGCATTTGGCAGATCTGGAAATCACGAGCTGCCCGAGTGTCCGCAGCGCTTCGAGGGAGAAAGACCACCCTGCTCCCTCCGGGAGAACTGGGAATCAGCGCTGCTGGAAAGGTGCTCGAGTGGGACTGCAGAGGGTTGGAAGTGGGGGGCAAGAGAACAGGAATTGTGCAAGGAATTGGGACGGGGGTTCAGCTGGTGCTCAGAAACTGGGGAGTTACAAACTGGTGCAGCGGGCACCGAGGAGAGCTGGGAAATGGGGACAACCAGTGCTGAGAGAACTGGGCAAAACCAGTGCAGGGAAGTGAGTGGGTGGGGGCATTTTTTGGTGCTCCTGAGCTCTTTGTGTGGGATACCTCAGGATTCAGGGGAACCCAGACGAGGGTGTTTTGGGTGAGCTGGGACTGTATTTGGGTCTCTGGACCCCACAGTTTCAGGTACCGCAGGGTCCCGTGCAGCCTGTGTCTCCTGCACTCAGGGTGTGCCAGGACCCCCCACACCCTGGGGCCGGCTGCTGAGATGCTGCCTGCCCTGTCCTGTGGGACAGCAATGTCCTGGAGGGGCTCAGCCCAAGGCTGCTAGGGGTGCCTGGCTGCACCCCCTCACTGCAGCCCCTCTCAGGATGCCCTTTTCCCTGGCCGAGTCCCTGCAGTCTGCAGTCCAGCCTCTGTAGGGGGAAGAGCCCTAGAAAAGGGTGTGGAAGAGGGTTACCCCGGACTGTGTCTCCAGAGACCCCCTCCCAAGGCCCCTTTACCCAGAGATATTTTCCCAGCCTTTCCTAAGGAAGGGCTGGCACTGATGCGAGTTGTCTCCACCCAGGTTTTGGATAACTCCACCCGCCGCCGCCTCGCAGCTCCTCCTCCCAGTGAACAGCCCAGCTGGGATATAAGCAAGTCACTCAGAGCCCGGGAGCTGCCGCGACAGCTGGGCGGGTGGCGTGGGACTGTCGCGTTGTGACCTGAGCCGTGCCCTTCGCCTCGACGCCGGACCCCATGGCGACGCCTTCGCAGAAAAGGAGCACCCGCAGCGGGGCTTCGGGGACCCCCTTGTCCCCCACACGCATCACCCGCCTGCAGGAGAAGGAGGACCTGCAGGAGCTCAATGACCGCTTGGCCGTCTACATCGACAAGGTGCGCTCGCTGGAGCTGGAGAACGCCGGCCTGCGGCTCCGCATCACCGAGTCCGAGGAGGTGGTGAGCCGCGAGGTCTCGGGCATCAAGGCTGCCTACGAGTCGGAGCTGGCGGATGCCCGCAAGACCTTGGATTCGGTGGCCAAGGAGAGAGCTCGGCTGCAGCTGGAGCTCAGTAAAGTCCGGGAGGAGCACAAGGAGCTGAAGGCCCGGTGAGTGCCCTGGGGATGGGGGGGACTGCAGCGGGACGGGTGCTGGCGTCATGCTTGGCAGGGAGCCGGGAGGGAGGAAGGAGGGACCTGGAGGAGGCAGGGAGAGAGAGGAAAAATCCGTGGCCTGGCCGGGGCTGGAGTGCCTGTGGTAGGGACCGAAAGAAGAGAGAAGCTCTCTCGTCATTCTTGCTCTCCTTCCAAGCGCCATCTTTGGCCGGGATGCCCTTGGAGCGGGGATTTGGGAGCAGAGCTGGGGACGCTTGGGGCTGGGGCTGAGCAGACATGCCCTGGGCCCCCGGCAGGGTCCGTGCTATGCGGGCCGCAAGCGCCGGGCTGGCGGCCCCTCTGCCTTCGTCATGCTGGAGCTATTCCTAAACACGCTCCGGCACAGCCCGGGAAGCCGTGCCAGCCAGCTGGCTCTGTCCTGCCTACGGATTTCGCCTGCTCGTCCTATTTTCCTTTGCTGTCTTTGGCACCGGTTAAAGAACCTGCTCCAGGTTTTGTTTGCTTTAACCCTCCCTGTGCCAAGCTGCTCCCACGCTGTGGGGTCCCTCGGCTGTCCCAGCTGTCACTGGATGATGTGCTCCCAGTCCGCGCTGAGCCGCTTCCCATCCGGGTTCGTTTATTTTCCTCGCTGCCGTCAGAAATGCCCCCCCTCGTGGACCCCTCCCTGCTGCCCCAGGGTACCTCTGCCCTCCTCAGGGCTGTCACCGGTTACCGGCACAGGTCCCCTGAGGACACAGGGCTCCTTGTCCACTGTCACTACTGGCCAAGCAGGGGCTGGCACTGGGCTTTCCCCGGGCTCTGCCAGCCCGTGCGGTGTCGGGACGTGTCCCTGTAGCGCCCAGTTCCCCGAATCCTGCTCCAGGGAAGGAGCGAGCGGATCCCTTTCCGTCATCAGCTTTGGCTCACAGCCGGATCCGGGCTGGGCAGTGGCGGGACAGCCCCCTCTTACTCCATTTGATCTTTTGCCTCTTATTCTGGACGCCTCGTTTTGAGCCTGTACCAAAAGAGGCTAAAATTAACTTCCTTAGTAGATGCCATAAATATTCCACCTGGGAGGGAGGGACTGTGCTGCCTGTTACTGCCGTCTCTGAGAGCCATGCCGAGTTATATTTAGCTTTCTATTTCCCGTGCGCTGCTGCAGCTTCGTCCTCGGATAAGGTGGTTTGCTGCTCGCCAGATCCCTGCTCTCGGATCCCAGGGATCCGAGTGCTGGTGAGAGGAGGAGCTGAGCTGTTTAAAGCCTTTTTCTGCCTTATGCAAACCCAGAACTATCTTGGCCACGATCTTTCGAGGGCTGGAAAAAATGCCAGGCCCGCAGCCGTGGCTGGAGGGGAGCTGGGCGCTGGCTGCGCTGTGGAGCCGGCCGTGGGGAAAACGGATGTGGAATTTTTTCCTGCAACGGGCTTCGCTCCGGGAGCTTCTGTGCTTATTCCCGAGCGCTGCCAAATCCCCTGAGAAAATAGTGTGGCTCGCGGGGGTTCCCATAGAGCAGCTTGTGCTTGAGAGATGGGTTTCGGTGGCTTTTGGAGAGCAGTTGGTGCGCGGGGCTCTGGGGGGTAGGGGTGTTTTCCGTGTTGAGTCATTTCTGAGTCACCGTCGGTGAGATGGAAGAGCGGAGATGCGGGGGAAGCCGATGCTGTTCATTCCTGCCTCTGGTTTGTCCCTTCTTCCTAGGGCGCGGCATGAGAGCTGCTCTCCAACTCCCAAAACCCTCGCAAGGAGGCTGCAGCTTATCTTGTGTCCCTGGGGACCTGCTCGATGTGACGGGGCTGCTCAGAGAGCAGCACAATCGTCTGCCGTGCTGCGATGCTGCTCCTTGGGCTCAGCTTGTCTGGGGTGTCCCGAATCTTTGGGGCATGAGGGATTGGGGCAGCCACGAGCCCAACCCTGCGGAGGGCTCACAACTGTGGGGGGGATCGGGAGGGCTCTGTTCAGATATTGTTCTGCTCCCCGCCATCCATTTGGGCAGGGATGTGCCTGTTCTGCCCGCTGTCCCTGCCCACCCTAAGCCCTTGGGTCAGCGCCTGATCTGGGGCCACTTCACTGTCCTTGGCACAGTGAGACTTTGGCTAATGAGTAACTGGCAGCCCTCTGCCCCCCTCGCTGTGCCCGTCAGCCCTGGGGAAGCGCCGGGTATCTCCTGCAGGGCAGGCGCCCGGGCCCGCCTTATCAGCACCCACAGCATCACCGCTGCCCGAGGCAGGGGTTGTCTCCCCAGCACAGAGGGAGGGTGGGGGGCCGGGATGCCAGGGCATGACGTGTCTGGATGTAACACGGTCCCGGCTGCTCTGTCTGGGTGGGGAGAGAGGTGCTGACAGGAGGGGGAGAAGGTGTGCAAACAGGAGACCAGTCTAACCAGTACCAATGCATGAGTGCAAGAGCTGCATGGGTAGAGGAGGGTCTGAGAAGAGCTGGGCTGCCCGCCCTCTGCCTCCTGGCACCCCTCTGTTCCTGGCCAACCGCTCTTCTCTTGGGGAAGTTCCCAGTGGGATCTTCCCCCTGCCTGTTTGGCTGCTCCCCGTGGTGATCCAGGAGGGGTTTCCCAAAGTGCCCACCTGGCTCTTTGCACAGGGACCCTCAGCCCTGTGCAGCCTGATACTGGTTGTGCCCTAGGATAAGGGACCCCTCTGGGCAATCCTGCCTGTCCTGGTGCCACACGTGTCCCCAACTCTGGATGGCCTCTGCCTATGCTGTAGCCACACTTCAGGCAAAGCAGAGGGTGCAATGGGGGTGGCTGGTTACTGAGGGGTGTTGGCAGCAGCAGCGTCATCCCTTCCCAGGCCATGGGTAGAGATAGGACTAGTCTGAAATGCCCCTGTCCCTGGTGTCCTCAAGCTTCTGTCCCGCTCCTTGGAGGACACCTGGATTCCAGCATGGCACCAGAGGATGGAGAGATGCTCTGTGCTTGCTCCTGCTCACTGCCTCCTCTCCTTAAGATGGTTTCTGACTCTCAGGGTGAACAGAGCCATGGCCCTTGCCTTGCTCCGTCAGAGTTCATCCCATCCCACAAGTGGGGGACGTTTGTCAGTGCAAGCAGGGGTGTAGAATATGTATAATATAGGAGAGGCCCCCTGAGGAATTCACTCCATAGGCGAGGAATGGCCATGTGGTGGCCACAGTGACCAACTCCCTTCTCCAAGGCAGGAACCAGCCCTTGTTAGTGCTGTGGCTGATGAGCAATGCCTTCCTGAATTGCAGCCCCTAACCTGATTAGGCCAGTGCCCTGGCAGTGCCTCTTCCTCCCAGGGCCCAGATCTCATCCCTGGTCCTAATGAGGACAAATCTCCTGTTCCCCAAACATTGTTGTGGAGGGAGGAAGCTCATCCAAGGGCAGAGCAAGGGAGGCAGCAGTGGGGTGCCAGGAGGTGAACTTCACAGCCCTTCCCCAGCCCAAGGGGGTTTTGTCCCATGCTTTGTTCAGCAAGGACCCTCTGGGCAGGAACAGGTAAACAAAACCTGTTTAGTTGAAAAAAAGGGAGGAAAAAGAATTAAGGCTCAGTGCTGCCGGGGGGGACCACGTGCTTCCTTCAGCGGCGATGAGCTTGTGCTGGAACATTTTGCGTGGGGTGAAACCTCAGGCTCCTGGGTTTCTCCCCCGTCTGCCTCACGGAATCCCTGCCAGGGAGGGAATGCTTTGGCTGGGAGGAGGCTTTGCCCTTTCGGAGCAAACAAAGAGCAACTTGTGCAGCTGGGGATATTCTGGGGGAGTTGTCAACGCAGAGCTGGGCTGATCCAGACCTCCGTGGCTCTCTGGGACCCTCTTAAACATGCCACTCTGGATCTCCAGCCCTGTGGACACATTGGTTGTCCCTTGACATCTGCAGCCAGCAGCTCAGGATGGCTGGGCATGCTGGCCCTCCTGCTACACTGCAGGGCTGGAGGGCTCTGTGGCAAAACGTTTCTTCAAGGAGAAGGTTTTCATTAGCTGTTCCCAGTGGAGAGGAATTCTCACCTCTGCAAACATCCAGCCCCTCTTTCTCCAAGAAAAATTGTGGCAGAAAAATGTTCTCCAGCACTTTTGGTTTGTGACCTCACTCCCGTGCCGTGTGTTTCCCAGTGTCTTCCAGCCATGGCTCATCCTCTCACTTTTCTGAGGGATGAAGGGAGTGAGTGGAAATCCTGTTGCCTTACATATATTTAGGATGATAGGATCCACTCTGGCAAATGAAGGACTTTATCCTTGGAGCTGGGGATTAAAGAGAAACAATTGCAAAGAGAATCAGGGCTGCATTTTGCTGTAGGGAGGGATCCATCCCTGACAGCCCGTCCCAGCCTGCCCTGGTCCTACATGCTGCCACAAGTGTTTTTCAGCCTTGCATGTGTCACTTCACTTGTCTAAATCCCATCAACACTCAAACTCTGGAGCCCAGAGGACAGGGAGTTGTTCCCAGTGTGGTGCTCAAGGATGCAGACAGAGAGAGTGGCCCAGCCAGGGTGGGACATGTGGGGCAGCTGCCAGCTCCATATTCTACTGAATCTGTGCCCTTTGGGAGGTGTAGTTTCCTTTTGTACTTTTGCTGGCAACCAGGAAAGGAGGAAGTCACCAGAGTTCTCCCTCTGGTCCTGGGGTTGTCATGGAGGATTCCCCAGGAAGAGGGGAAGTCAGCCCAGTGGGTTCAGTATGAGCTGGGAATCACCTTCCACTGTCCCACCACTGGCTGCATTACCTGTTTTGCCATCCTGCTCTTTGTGAGGTTGTTTGCTGAGCCTGTTCCTTTGTGACCAGCTCAGCATGTTCCCAAACAGCTGAGGCCAGTGCCATGTAAAACCTGCCTCTGTGGACAGCTGCCATCAGACAGCACGGTGTCAGGGCTGGGTGCCCACCTGCCTCTGCTCCCTTCCCCTCCCTGCCAAGGGTTGAATATCCCCAGTGTGAAGCTGAACAGCTGTGGGGGCTGGCATAGTCCCCCAGCCCCACCTGGTGCAGTGGCAGCTGCAACCCTGACTGCAGAGACATCTGGGTGACAGCCAGGCTCTTGGCCACCCAGGAGAAG